ATTCAAATCCTGATGATTTCATGGAGATGGACATGGACATGTTGTTTGGTTTTGTTGGACAGCTCTATGGAAATGATTTGTTATTGCTGTCTTCTGTTTTTTCCCCTAATTTCCAGTCTTGCGTAGCGCTCCTAGGTAGCTAGGGTGGGTGTCTGTCTGTCTCTAATCTTTCCTCGCAGATGTCAGGTTCAGCTGGCACGGCACTGCTAGGAAACCTGGCCAACTGCGCTGAGCCTATTCTACCGCCCACTCGCAAGCCGGGGAGAAAGAGGAAGTGAGAGCTGCAGCTGATTAACGGGCCACCTGTGCCCACTTAACAAGGAAACCGCAGAGTGGATGGACTGTATCCACTCTGATGAGCGGTGCGCGGGAGACAAAGAGCAAACCCGCGGGCTGCGGAAGGCGATCACCCCGCGATCGAGAAAACCCCGGCTTTGCGCGCAACGGAAAGGACCCCGGGGGAAACAAGACCACACCGGAGCGGCAGAGCAATCTAGGACAATGGGATACTGGCTGAACCTGCCATTTGGAACATTAAAGGGGATTATTGGGGTATCAATAATCTGTAGCCTGTAACCTGACAATGGGGCGGAATGCGGGAAGGGGAGAGTTATAAATTGTACAACAAAATGTGCCAACCAGTCCTGGCTTTGTTTGTAACTGTTGTGTTATGCTTGGGTAAACCTCTTTTGTGAACCACACGTGTCATGGGAGTTTCTCTTGATGAACGGGGCATTCCTTACAGCAGAAACAACTCATTGAGGTGGGTTGAGAGATTGTAGCTGGCCAAAGGTAGCCAGGGAGCTTCCACGGTTTAGGGTAGCTTGGACCCTGGATCTCTCTGGTCCCAGGCCAACCCCTTAGCCACCAGACACACTGACTCTCACATGTTCCTTAAGAGCATGTATCAAATATAAGTAGACTTATTAGAAGCCTGGATTGACTATGGCAGTGTGCTGAGAGTTACACAAGCTTGGGTGTAAAGCTAACTAAAGACTGGTAAACTCCACAAGCCATAATATCAGAGATGGAGCATGACTCTTCTGCAAGCTAATCTTTATTGGCTGTGATGTAGCACTGGTGATCTGGACACTGTCATCATTCTTTAATAATCAGCCTATGGGTTATTTCTTTTTGGCCTATTATGTTGTTCCATGGGCCATCAGAAGAAACAGTCTCTCTGCAAATCGTCTCACGCTGCTGTCAGTGTGCATGACATTTTTACTATCAAAGGCATGAAAAGGGCAAGATTGCCAGCCATCCCATCCCAAGTCACATTTGTTTTAACAGGAAAGATGTACAAAGATTTTGTCATGGAATCTGCTAGGAACAAAGTCCTAATGGATTTCCAGCACAATCTGAGGAATCAACTCCTTTACAACCCTAGTGGATGCACACTCACAATTTTTTTTTAAAAAAATGTCAAGATACTACATGTTAGAAATACTACTACATACTACATGTTAGAAAATTTTCAGTTCTTCTCTCTACACTTCTCTCTCCTTTTTTTATTTATTTTATTTATGTATTTAAAAGATTTATACAGCTGCCCATCTTAAACTCTGGGTGGCTCACAATAACAGTAAAACTAGTCATTTTAAAACAATCATAAAACAGTAAAATGAACAAAAAAACCCAAAACCCTGTGCCTTAATCATTACCTTAGGATGCCCCACAGCAAGATCCAATGGCCCTCATTCCATAATTTCCATCTATTCAATCCTATCCAGTGTCTCGGTAAAAAGCCAGGATTTGATGGTCTTCTGAAAGGCTAAAAAGGTGGGGGCCTGCCAAATTGCCAGGGGGAGGGTGTTCCATAAGGTAGGGGCAGCCATGGAAAAGACACGCTTCCGAGGTCCCACTAGTTGGCAGGATTTCAGGATTTCCCATCTGATCTAGTGGGACGGGCAGATATTCTTCGGAAGAGGAGGTCCCACAGATAACCAGGTCGCGTGCCATGTAGGGCTTTAAAGGTGATAACCAGCACCTTGAATTGCACCCGGAAGGAAACTGGGAGCCAGTGCAGTACTGTACCCCCTGCCATTGGATGACCTCACCCAGTGGTTACAGGGAGTTGTTAAAGAGGAGAGGGGAGAGCCCAAAACGCCGAGGCATCCCACACTGCAGGGGCCTAGGGCTCGCCCTCTCCTCGCCCA